CCATTATGGGGAATCTGCAAGCCATTTGTTAAACATGGCCATTATTTAAAATTAAATTACATAAGCATAGAATGAAATAAATTATTTTCAAAACCAAGGTGGTAAATACTCAAAATCCGTGATTTCCTATTAGACTTCATTTGACTATTATGCCATGCTCTTGAGGTTGTTTACGTCCACCGTATCTGTGCTGTGGAAGTGTTCTGCCGTGGTGCTCTCCTGAGCATCTCTGCCTTGTTGGAAGGTCCCTGAGACCACCTGAGACCACCCTGGGCCTGGTGATGTGCTAGGAGGATCCAGCACGGAGTCTTCACCAGATCTATGACAATGGAAGGACACAAAGCTCAGTCAGCAAAGGGGAAAGATGCATGGGTGAAAGTCCAGAGGACCCCAGGCACAAGCATCGGGATGCCCCACAGGGGTCAAAGGACATGCTTAATTCCTTTGATTTCCTTAATTCCGAGCAATGAGTTATGACAACACACATGAAGCATCATCCATCAAGGAAGCTTGCTGGAGACTGAGCACCCAGGGTTTTCTTGGGGGCTAGTGACTGGTCACACAGGCATGTACCAGAAGTCAGACTCCTGGCAGAAGAGCAGATATAGACTGTATAGGTTGTGTCAATGGCAGAGGCATAGTGAGCCATTCTTATAGCAGAATGGTGCAAACCTTTCCAAATCCATGCTCCCAGATGCCAGCCAAGGGCCATTCTTGTAAGCCTACCTCCTCACAAGGGACAGCAGCCCGGGCTGCTGTGTTAACTCTTTGCTACACTTGTCCCAACCTCACATTCAGTGATGTAACATGGTCACTTGGCTATGGAGAGAGCATTTACACTACAGATTGGCAAATGCTATGAATCAGGGATTCCCCTGACACCCCCAGCACACCGCTGCTTTAGGACTTCAAGTGGAGGACTTGGCCTCATATGTTCTGACTGGGTGTCAGAGAGCAGGGAGAGAATGGATTTCACTGGCGGGCTGTCCTCTGCCCCCTGTGCAACCCCCAGCCTCTCCCTCACGTTGGCCCTCTTCTTCCTGTCTCTACCAGGCACCAGGAGAACTGTTCGGATGGACCACACCTTCTTCCCTGGCTACAGAAAGACCCTGCTAAGTCCGGAGGAGATATTGCTTTCCATTGAGATCCCCTACAGCAGGGAGGTGAGAGGCAGGAGTCCAGGCTCTGCCCAAATTACCCATGCTGCTGGGCTCAGACCTGGAGACAAGGGCCTGCCTCGGGACCAACTTTAGCATCCCTTGACCTTGACACTGATGTTTTTCTCTCTGAAATTTGTCTCTGATGAACCAACCCTATTCCTCTCTGGACAATGGGACATTGAAGGACAGGGGTACACAGGGCATGGGCATAAAGTCACTTAGCTAGACATACGATCCTGAGTGAGTCATCTTAGCTTTCTGAGCCCCAATGTTCCCACCTGTAAAGGAGGCACAAATGTTACCTATGTGCATGGTCTTGTGGGGGGCTGAAATATTTCATAAGAATGTTCCTGGCAGGTGTCTAGAAGCCATGGAGGTTACCAACACAGTCCTAAGAGTAAATTCAACAGTTGAGTGCTCCTGTCCCATGTCAAGGACACAGTTTACTCATAGTGAAGAGTGTAGGGCTTGCCTGTGGAGTGCAGAAGATGTCTAAGACCCTCTTGTGCTGACCTTGGCCTTGAGGAGGTGTTAATCCCCTGACCTTGCTCTGGGCTGGCACTGCTGGATTTCTTTTTTGTGAACAGCTTTTCTCATCCATTCGGGCAGATCTGGGCGCCTTTGCCTGCTTTGCTCTCAGGGCCTGGAGTGGCTTGATCTGGGTGGTTCTCTCCTTTCTTAGGAGCCCCTGACTCAGGACACATCCCACAATAGGCCTTTTGGAAAAATGGTCTGGAGAGGTGGGGAAAGCAGTGGGCGAGGAGGGTGAAGGGTCTACGGCAGCTCCTGCTCCAGCAAGGGTGTGAGGGATGTTTGCCCTTGCTAACTTTGACCTCCTTCATGAGAATGTGAATCCAATTACAGCAATGATAGCCCTGAACTGGATTCTTAAGGATTTTCTAGCTTGTCTTTGCAGAACATTTTGAGCAGTGACTCCCAAAATTTCAAATTTTACAGATCACTATTTTTTTTTTAAATTATGAGTCAAGGAAAGGGGAGGAAACAGGCTTAGCACTACTCAGATTTTATTTTGCCAGGTATGGTCATTAATGGAAAATACCATTTTGAAAAAGAAAGGAGATTTTAATACCCAGAATTAGATTTCTCAACAAAGGATGCTGTTAACCTGATGCTGAGCACTTCTGCACTCAAATGAAAAATGTCCCTGAATGACCCTGAGAGTGAACATCTGGAACCTCTGCTCCAGAACCAAGTCCAAATGCTGGGTTCGGTGCCCAGGAATACGAGCTTAGTCTCAGGAGGGGCTTCACAGCTCCAGAGAATTGAAATCTGTGCCCCTTGGGGGCTTCAGCAGTGGGCTTCATTATGCTTTGGGTGGATCTTTCCTTAACCTCCCACTTGGTGTTAATCAGAATGTGCAATCAGTGGGGTACAACCTCAGCACCTGCACGGAAGAACTGAAGTCAGATGGTTCTTCCCTGGAAAATGACTTCCACTGTCCTCCTCTCCCCCAAGACAGACCCTGGCTCAGACCCAGGGGGAGAGCAGGTTCAGAACACAGAGGGAGCATTGTTTCCTAGTGGGTCACTTTCTTGCAGAAAATGAGATTTCTCAGTTGACATTAGAGTAGTCATGGGAGGGACAAGGAAGAGCGTACCCACAAGTGAGATGGCTTCAGATTACCTGTGCCATCTCCCTGTCCCTGCTTGAGAGGCAGCCAGGTGCTGACTGAGGCTTCATGAATCTTCAGAGAGGTGGGGTGGGCCCTGACCCTGGGCCCCAGGGTGGGTCTCGGGAGCCTACTTCTCCCAGCTAGGATTTGTGTCCCTGACTCTCAGCATTCCTGACCCTCAGCATTCATGACCAACGGGGAGAAGTCCCGACTCTTTCCAGCTTCTGGGAATGTGACCTGGAACTCCTCCTATAGTGTGGTCCTTACGTCTTGTCTTTGATCCCGAGACAAGGTCCCCACGGCTCTGCGGTGGCATTATCACCTCACTTCACCTCACCTCACAGTCCTGTTTTAGGCCGGCCACTGGCAGTCCTTGCGAAACAAGGTGGAGAACAGGCATCTACCTGTTCTCTTTTAGGGTGAGTTTTTCTCAGCATTCAAGCAGGCCTCCCGGCGAGAAGATGACATTGCCAAGGTGACCAGTGGCATGAGAGTCCTATTCAAGCCAGGGACCACAGAGGTGAAGGAGCTGGCCCTTTGCTATGGAGGAATGGCCGACAGAACTATCTCAGCCATCAAGACCACTGCAAAGCAGCTGTCCAAGTAAGAGCTAGTACCCGTGAAGCTGCTGTAGCTGCCATTATTATGGCTACTGGAGTATTACTATTGCCACTACCACTTTTATTATTGCTGCTCCGGCTATTGCTACAGCCACTGTTGCTACTGATATTACTAGAGATACTAGTGTTACTACTAGCGCAGTCATGTTGATGACACAGTATGTTGATGTTTTGAGCAGTGATGCGCCACGCATATGACAGTGGTCCCACAAAATTACAATGGAGTTGAAAAATTCCTGGCACCTAGTATTTTTATTGTATCTTCCCACATTTAGATACGTGTAGACACACAAATACCAGCCATTGTGTTACAGTTGCCTATGGTATTCAGTACAGTAACATGCTGTACAGGTTTGTAGCCTAGGAGCAATAGGCTCTACCACATAACCTGGGCAGTAGGCTATACCATAGGGGTTTGTGTAAGTGCACAAAGAAACAGCCTAACACACTCTTTAGAATATTTCCCTGTTATTAATGACATGTGACTCTAGTTAGTATTACTGCTGCTGTACTACTATCATGTGGCTACCACTGTTGCTACTGTTAATTCTGTTATTACTGTTAGTGCTGCTATATTGCAGCTATCACTATTGTTCCTATTGCTACTGCTTCTGCTACCGTGGTCACTGATACTGCTTACTAGGACTAATGCTGCTGTTACTCTTACTACTGACATAACTATCATCACTGCTGCTACTAGCACTGCTGTTATTCTTACCAATATCTTGATTATAACTAGTATTCCTACTGTGGCTATTCCTGCTATTATTATTGTTACTACTATTGCTGCCTTTTCTACTACTGTTATGATTTTTGATACTCCTATAATGATTGTTGCTTATAGTATTTACACTAATAGCATTACCACTGCTGCTATTACTACTATTGCTATTGCTACCACCACCATTACAATTGCTGTGAGTACTGCTGCTATTCCTATTGCTACCAGTAGTAGTTTCACTGCTGCTCCTACTACTATTGCTACCTTCTAGCTTTGCTGCTATTGCTCCTATTATTACTGCTGCCACTGTGCTATTGTGACTAGTAGTGGAAATCACTATTGCTACCACTAATTGTACATAAATAGTAGGGTTTCTGCAGCTGTTTTCTGCTAAGAAGATTGCTTCTCGCATACTACTGTTACTACTTCTGCTATCATTACTGTTGCTACTATTACCACCACTGCTATTGCTCCTGCTGCCATTGCTGGTATTCCTACTAGTAGCATTGATGCTGCTACCATTACTGCTAACGCCACAGCCACCGTAAGTTTGGCTGCTGTTACTACTTCTATTATTAATCCTGCTACCACTATTCCCATGACTGTCATAGGCAGCAATTGAACCAAGTTCTTCATTGGCATTATCCTACATAACCCTTACAAAACCCACACATGATAAAGCTTAACTTGAAATTTGGCTTCTTGGTTCCAATATTGACCAGGAAAGTAACATAAGTCAAGTTCCACAGCCTCTCCATGCCTCAGTCTTCTCAGTGGTAACGTGGGTGTGAGACTTTTTCCCTACTGTAGTTTTTAATTAAGTTAAAAGTGATGATTCACATAAAGCACCTAGGACAAGGCCTAGCATGTTGTAAAAACTCAGAAGACATTACTATTATTGGGGCTGGGGATGTGGCTCAAGCGGTAGCACGCTCGCCTGGCATGCGTGAGGCCCGGGTTCGATCCTCAGCACCACATACCAACAAAGATGTTGTGTCCGCCAAAAACTAAAAAATAAATATTAAAATTCTCTCTCTCAAAAAAAAAATTTTTAAAAAAGAAGATATAACTATTATTATTTTGTGATTTTTAGAGTATATCTACTTTTAAAGGTGAGGAAACGGAGGCCCAGGAGGTGAAGTAACTGGTAAAGCGACTTGCCTCAACTCGCAGAGCTCTGAGTATCTGAGCCAGGTTTTGAACAGAGGTCTGCATGGCCAGGAGGCATTGGGTGCTGCGCTCCACATGGCATGACTGGGGCGGGGGTGAGACGCACTCCCCACATCTGTTCTCTGGCAGGTTCTGGAATGAGGAGCTAATGCAGGATGTGTGTGCAGGCCTGGCCGAGGAGCTGCACCTGGCCCCTGATGCCCCTGGCGGCATGGTGGAGTTCCGGCGCACCCTCAGCCTTAGCTTCTTCTTCAAGTTCTACCTGACAGTGCTTCAGAAGCTGGGCAAAGAGAACCCTGAGGTGGGTGAGGTGCAGATTCTCGGCAGCAGGCGTGTTTGGAGGCTGGTCAGGGGTTCAACCTGTTTCTTCACTCGGGATGTCTGAGAGCAGGAGCAGGAACCAGAGACGCAGGGTCCACAGACACGAGCCAACCAGCTGGCTGGGTCAGGGACACGGAGGGCTCTTGTCCTGCCAATGTTATGAGCTCACTGGGGGAACTGGAATAGCCACGCCTCTCTCTCCCTCCCAGCTGTGGAATCTGCAATAGGGGCTGGTGGACCAGATGGCCCTTCCAGAAGCAGAGCAGACACGACTGTGGCTGTGCATGTGGGAAGGGAGCAGAGAGGGAGAATGGAATGAGGACGGGGTCCTGGAACACAGGATGTGCCTTCAGGCTACTGGCAGGCTGAGGTGGAGCCCTCCTCCCAAGATTCGTTGATCACGAGCATTTGTTTGTTGCCTATTACATACCATGCTACACGTGGGACGAGGGGCAGCCTAGGGTGGGACAGAACAAGTCAGCAAAGGCCAGCTGGTGTGACAACTAAGAAGGGCGGGGTGTGGAGGGAGCACAGAAGAGAGAAGACGCTACAGAGAGGCGGACAGTTGGGCCAAATCCCTCTTGAAAACATTAGAAATACTTCCATTTTTTAAAAATTAAAGATATATTTTGGAAATCTTAAAAAATACAGATTATAAAGGAAAACTAAAATTACCCCCTATTCTTAGGTCCCAGAGAAAGTCACTGCTTAAGTTTTGATTTTTCCCTACACTTCTCTAACCTTTTCCCTACATGCTGTTTGCCCTGTCTGTCATGGTTTCCATCTGTCCTCCCATCGTCCCTAAACACATCTACCATCTTGCGATCTTTTGATCTGGAGATGTCATTTTCTAAACAGATTTATACCCACCTTACCTTAGTATTGTGAATATCCTCCATGTCATTAAGTACTTCCCACGGAATAGAGGGGGAAGGGAGACTTTTCTGGGAAGGGTGGGGAGGAAGAATTCCCGGCAGAGAGAGCAGCACGTGTAAAGCAGAAGGGGAAATCTGGAGTGTGGGAGGAATCAAGGAGCGCTGGGTGTGCTAGGTCAGGTGGCTGGAGATGGAGCCGAGGTGGTGGTTAAATTCTGAGTGCTCAGAGCCCACGTCTGGACGAGGGAGACCCCACCAGTACTCAGGGGGTAAAACCTGACCAGCCAAGGGGAACTCTCATCACCTCTATCACTTGGGGGCACCAAGAAAGGGATCAATGATGCAGCGCTGTCACGGCCACCTCTGTTGTCTCACCTCCACAGAACTGTGGCCTGCTGGACCCCACCTTCACCAGTGCCACTCTGCTCTTCCACAAAGACCCTCCAGCCAACGTCCAGCTCTTCCAAGTGAGTACCCATGTGTGTTCTGATATGAAGGCCAGCTCAGGCCACCCCTGACGGTCGATGGCTGGCCACTGACCAGTGCCCAGCTTGAATCATACATAGAAGTGAAAAGCTCCCCACTCTGGTGCCTACAGGTCCAGTGTAAGAAGCGGGAATCATACTGATGGAGCTGTTTCCCCTTTGTTGGCCTAAATTTCTTTCTTAGGATGCCTGTGCCTTAAAGAAAAAACAGGTTTTTTTTTTTTTCCATTTATCTTTTCTATGTAGGACTAAGTCTAGACTAACTCCAGACGTCTTCCTGAGTGGATGGGCATATACACATATGCTCAAACCATTCTATCTGCTACAAGTTTTTGAGAGTAACTGAGCAAGGGATTAGCAAACGTTTTCTATAAACTGTTTAGATTTTGTGAGTCAGACAGTCTTTATTGCAACAACCACCTCAGCTTCGTCTCCAGCCACCTGACCCAGAACACCCAGTGCTCCTTAATAATGGTCCCTGGTTCAGAGGATGGCCAAGCATTAAATGTGTTAATAAAAGGAAATTGCTTAGATGGTTCCTGGCATATAGTAAAAACACTCAACAACTATTAGCCATTATTATTACTTTGAAAAAACAAAAACAGAACTTTATTATAAAATTAATAGATCTTAAGATATTTTGGAAAATACAGGAAAATATAAAGACAAAAATAAAAATCACCCAAGAAGAGATTCATTGTATTTGTTTAGTTCTTTTTCCCCATTTATATATGAACACACATATATGATATTTATAGCATATATTATTTTCCCTACATGATTAGAATCATTACACAGAGAATGTTTCATGTCTTATTTTTACAATTAGCATGTGCATTCTTTCTTTTTAATAAAAATTCTTCAGAAATATGTTTTGATGGCTGCATACTATTTCATTGTATGCTATAGCATAACCCAGTTCTCAATTGATGGACATTTAGTTTCCTCCTTTTTTGGGGGGGAGGAGTTCCTTGATATACTTACACTATGAGCACCCTTATCAGTGACTTCTTAGGTGCCTCACTGTTACTTTCACCCCTAAAGCCTTTCTACCTCATTCATTCCAACCCTCTGGGTTTGCTTTGGTATCTGGCCTCAAGGACTCCCCAGCGTCCATGGACCTCTAGAGAAACAGTGTCCTCAGCCTGACTGGTGATCATGCTTTCCCAGGAGGTTCCCAAAGGTCAGTCTGAGGAGGACATGGTGGGCCGTCCCATGCCCCACCTTGCCGCCAACATGCAGGCCTCCGGGGAGGCAGTGTACTGCGATGACATCCCCCGCTACGAGAACGAGCTGTCTCTCCGGCTGGTCACCAGCACCAGGGCCCACGCCAAGATCAAGTGAGTGCAGCGGCCGTGGGGAGCCCGTGGCGCTCCAGGGGGAGGGTGCTGGGAGCACCCGAGAGGCTTCCCACCCAAAGATGACCTTAGCAAGCGTCTTCCAGCGCTTCCCAGCCTAGAGATGAGGATGGAAGATCCTCTCCAAATCACCATCCAGAGCGCAGCAGGAGGAGTGAGGGCCCTGTGACTCCGAGGAGGGTCTGCTCACAGGGCTGATGTCCCCAGAGGCAGGCAGGGGCCAGATTGAGAAAGCCTGGGGGGAATGAAGGCTCATTAAAACAAGGCCAGTTATGCAGTCCAGGGGATGGATCTCCTGCTTCAGTTTGCCCACCTGGCTCCTCCCGCGGCTCGTTCTTGCAGGTCCATAGACACTTCAGCAGCTAAGAAGGTGCCAGGGTTTGTTTGCTTCCTCTCAGCTGCCGATATTCCTGGGAGTAACACAACTGGACTTTTTAATGATGAAGTAGTCTTTGCGGAAAGTGAGGTATGCTTGGATTTTATTTTGTATGAAATGAATAGAATAAGTATTGAAGTTTTCATTCATGCTCAGGCTCCAATTTGCCCTCATCTTGAAGATTATACGTTTGCACTTATCATGACCTTGGCTCTGGTTAACATTATTCAGTACAACTCAAGATGGGATAGAATATGTTATTATTTAAAATGTCAACATTTAATTGATGGCTGCTGTTTGCACATAGCAGGGTAACTCTGGGCCTACATGGCAGTAAAGCAAGGCTGGCGATTATAGAATCGGGTTCCTAATGTATGGACATTAAACTCTTTTATTAAAAGAAAAATAAGAAAACATCAAATGAACTAACCAGAAAAGAAATAATAATACCATCACTTTGTGGATCGATAGCTCACAAATATGAAAGTTCATCTATCGATTTCAACTATATGAAATTCTACAGCAACATCGTTTCCAAACCTTTAAGACAGTTTCTACAAAAGTTCTTATACTTTACTATAGGATAGTTCTCAGATGGTCATTTCCTAGTTCTAACACACATCAGATGTTGCCGATCTGATGTGGGTAGGTATCCCTGAAAGTTAAACTCACCTTATTATTAGTGTAAAGGTGAAAGAGCAAAAATCTACAAATATGAAACCCGGAATTTGTAAGGACTCCCTAGAAGAACATATCGTTTTACAAGCTCCAAGAGCCTCCAGGAGTACTGCTAGCATTTTGGTTAGTGGGGATCAGCTATATACACTATCGCTGCATTAACCAAGTTCATAATGGAGTCTTTAAGAGAGAATTATCAGAGACTTGCATGCTAAGTATTGGTTCATATCGTTAGAAACCCTATATTCCAAAGTGATGAGTTGGACAATGTATTTTGTTGTTTATTTTAGGGGGGAATGTTTGATGAAAATTATCCCTGAAGGAGATTCATTAAGTTTTTATGGAATTGAATTTAAAGAAAAAAAAACAATTGTTATTCTATAAATTGAAAAATATCTTATTTATAGATCATTGAATTTAAGTCTTGTCTTTCGTGAGCTACTGCTTTTAGGGCTTCTAGATAAAACAATAAGACACGATTGTGGCTTTTGAGGAGCTCTTGGTATAAATCTGGGAAATAGCACATTAAGAGAATGATGAAGCGGACCAATAATAAAACTGAGAGTCAAGGCCTACGGTTTAGTCATGATCTGGTAACTACTACTAACCAGTCTTGACGGTGCCTTCTGGTCGCCACCTCTTCATAGGAAGACTCAGCTTGCTGGAGCACGTCTGATTTGACCTACTTGGGCACCTTATCTCCATTCTGCTCATGGCAGACAGCCATAATCAATCACTACACTCTACCCTGGGCAGCTTCTCAGTACGCTACCAGTACTAAAAACTCAGACCTGGCCCTTGAGATGAAATCTGTTTCTGATTCCAGTGATCTCTCTGTGCTCTGTTCTGTTCTACTGATTCTAAGCTCTTTTTTAAGAGGCTCATAACCCCAGTTTTAAGAGGTTCAAACCCCCAGTTACTGGGATAAGGAAACTTGAAAAGCCCCAGGACATTCCTAAAATGTTCTTTGGGAACGTGGGGACTTCCTTTGCCTTTTTGAACAATTTGTAAATAGGACACTTCACAAGAGCTGTCAGTCACGTTCTTTGACAATCTGCTCTTGCTCCTAGGTAACTTGTGTTGGACACATCATTGGTGCTGTGGTTGCTGACACTCCAGAACATGCACAGAGGGCAGCTCAAGGGGTGAAAATTACCTATGAGGACCTTCCGGCTATTATCACCATTGAGGTAACTGCCTGTGTGTAGGAGTGAGCTCCCTGTCCCTGCAGGTGTGGTTAGAAGGATCCTTCACAGGAGATTTGAGCAGCAGGTGGGAATTTGGCTACCTGAGGTCCCCTTCTTACCATGGTGCTACTTAAATGATTTCAAATTTTTCAACTTTATGATGGTGTGAAAGCATACACAGCTACCATTGTTTTTCACTTTCACTGCAATATTCAACGAATTACAAGAGATATTCAGCACTTCATTTTCAAGCAGGGTTTGTGTTAGTCGGTTTTGCCCAACTATAGGCTCACGTAAGTGCTCTGAGGGTGCTCAGGTAGGCGAGGCTAAGCTGTGATGTTTTCTAGGTGAGGTATATTGTTTTTTAATTGTGATACTTTCAACTTATGATAACTTGATGGGGACCTCACTCCATTGCAGATCAAGGAACACCTATAAGTGGATTTTAAAATCCCTTTCCTTTCATACATCATTTTGGGCCCAGTCCATCAACAACCAAACGGAGTGGAGTTCCTCTTTCCCTAAATTTCAACTCCAGTTGTTTTCTTCTGGGATTCTTTTCTTTTCCTTAGGATCCATGTACAGCTCAGGAAATAGGAGCATGTCTCCCTGGGCCACAGTGGAGCTTGTTTTAAGTTGGTTCATGAAACTTGTGGAGATTCATGTCTGAGAAGAGAGACCCCAGTTCAGAGACCTCCTTTCCCCGGGCAGACGCTGTCTTCCTCCCCCTGAGTCAGGCCACTGAAGCTTCTTTCTGATCCTCAGGATGCTATAAAGAACAACTCCTTTTACGGATCTGAGCTGAAGATCGAGAAAGGAGACCTCAAGAAGGGGTTTTCCGAAGCAGATAATGTTGTTTCAGGTACAGCTGTGCATTATGCAGTAGGCATGGGGTGACCCTGGTTTGCACATTAAATTCAAGAGATCCACATTGAGCCCTGGAGCAGGAAAAGGTGATTCCCCCAAATTTCCTAATGGAAGATCACCTCTGACATCTCTAACAGAACAGTAGACAGCGTTGGGACAGAGCCTCAACCATATTAACCTCCACTCCCCTGTCCTGGGCTGGCTGTACCTAAGCATCCTAGTATCCTAGAGAGAGTAGGTGTGGTGTTTTCTGATTTGGAAGACTGTCCAGGGAAGTCATATCCCAGATGTGGCCAGCTTGGAGCTGCCAGACCTCTAACCTCTCCATCTGCCTGAAGGTGCTCCTCTGCTAGCTCACCCTCCTCCCCGTTGTCCCTGTCCCTCTGTCTCTGATTCTGTGAAGTTAGGTCCTCAGCTCTTAGCCTACGACAGGCAGCTGATCAGCCCCTTTTGGAATTGCTTTCCACATTGGCTCCTGGTCATTGCTAAGTCACCAGCAAGCCAACTAACTCTCCAGCAGGCCTGACAGCTTTGGTTCTGCAAGATGCTCTTGTTTTCAGCTTTTCAATTACATCTATTAATTCCCTCTTCAACTTTTCCAAATTTTGGGGAATCTGTGATTTTCAATGACTACACTGAGAAAAGAGCTCTCTGCCTGATGTATTTCAGTGTCCTTCTAGTTTCTTTGTGGGAGGGGGAGACATAACTTCCAGATGGTTGAGACTTTGAGACTCTTTCCCACCAAACTTGGGGAAACCAGAGGTTACCTGTGGGCCTGGGGTTCCCGCTTGGGCCACTTGGCAGAGTGCATGGCTTCCTTAAGCAAGCATGCATGCCCCTCTGCTGCAAGGGGCTCACGGTGGGGCTGTCATTGCTTCCCCAGGAGAGTTGTACATCGGTGGCCAGGAGCATTTCTATCTGGAGACTCACTGCACCATTGCTGTCCCGAAAGGAGAGGCCGGGGAGATGGAGCTCTTTGTGTCTACCCAGAACACCATGAAGACACAGGTAGATGGATGACCTAGGGATCAGCTCAGGGTACTGGAAAGATGGCTGTAGCAGACCAGGAGGGCAGTATGGGAAATGGGAAGAGGGAGTTCTGGCTGGTCCTCAAGGGGGTTGGTATCTCTGAGTTTGTCATGTGAGCGTTCTCTGCCTCAGTTTCCTCTTTGGTAAAATGGAGCCTGGTAGGATTGTTATATCAATTAGACGAGTTTCAACAGTTGCACCAGAGCCTGGTAATTCTTAGTTCTGATGATTCCGGTGCTAAATAGCTCTGGTCAAATCACGTCTTGCCTTCATTTCCTCATCTTTAAAATGAAGGAGCTGGGCCCAGTGATATTCACAGGGACCACTAACTTAGTTGCTATAGCTCAGATGTTATGTATCATCTGTGATGCACAGTGATTGCCAGCATTTTGGGTAGCTGGTCTTAACCCAGACTCACCAGCCTCTGGCTGAACGGAATGAGTTTTGGCTCTGACAACATGCTGTGATCTTGTCCCTCTGGTTGAAAACAAGTGTCTGGATGGCTGAGTTCAGTCTGCAGTGACCTTGAGTGTAGGACCCTGCACCACTAACCAGGAGGGGAGCGGTTTCACTCTAGAAATTTCAGAGTTCACAGCAGCAGTCAGGTCCACGCTTGTGGGGTGGGCCCAGGGTCCGGCCCAAATAAATCCAGATGAGGCATCAGTGAAAGAATGTTTTTTCCTCCATAGAGTTTTGTTGCGAAAATGTTGGGGGTTCCAGAAAACCGGATTGTAGTCCGAGTGAAGAGAATGGGAGGAGGCTTTGGAGGGAAGGAGACCAGGAGCACTATACTGTCTACAGCAGTGGCCTTGGCTGCATACAAGTAAGTTCCAAAGCCTGCTTCCTCCAGCAGCTCTGGGAAGAGGATAAGGTCACCTCTGCCGGGAAGGCTTTCTGGATTTCCCCTCATTGGAAGTCATTTTTCCCTGCTTTGAATTCTCACAGCTCTTTTTCTTTTTAGAACCCTTGGGCATAGGGATGAGGGTCATATGGCCTATTTCTTGGTGTTCTGACCCATGGGTCCCAATCTTATCTCCTCTACCTAGCTGTGAGCTCCCTGAGGGCAAGGTGTGCCTCTTGTCCTGATATTCCCCCCTGTTCCTGTCCTGCATGGTGCTTGCACAGCTGAGCAGCTCAGTACAGGTCTTCTCAGTGTGCCTGGCGGGAAAGGAAGGTCCCCTTGCTGTCTGCATCTCTGAGGCTCACAGGGCTGGGTACCACTGAAGGCTCACAGGTTTCTAACCCTCCTGGTTCCCTCCAGGACAGGCCGCCCCGTACGCTGCATGCTGGACCGTGATGAGGACATGCTGATAACTGGTGGCAGACATCCCTTCCTGGCCAGATACAAGGTTCTGGGTGGGGGTGTGTCAGGGTGGGGAGTGCCATCTTGTAAGGACCCTGGAGGGAAAGGTCCAGGAACCCTGGACTTGCTCTGACTTTTTGCATGACTATCTGTAGAAGTTCAAGAAGAAATAGCACCTAGAGAAACTGAAACCAGCCATCAGCAACATGGAGGCCACAGGACACTCCCCAAGAGATGTTACAGGGTGGCGTTCATGATTTCTGTGAATCTGTCAGTGGCCTGGGGTAATCCATCACACAGAGCGTCTAATGGCAATATGCTCACCGCCTGATGTAGAAATCAGAATGAACTCTTAGCAACTTGCCATGAGAGAAATAAAACCTCCCAGAGTCCTAGACAGGCACAGGTTGTTACAGTGGGCACCTGGTCTGCCAGAGCATGATTGGGAATCACCCCAACTTCTCTCTGGGATGGTCCCTTTTCTGGTTTTCTGTGGATGACTAGTTCTGTCCCCACCAATGCCTCCTTTCCCTGTGCACAGCAGATAACTTGACAGGGCTCAGCCCAGCTCTGTAACCCGGGAGTCCTCTCCCTCCACAAACAGGCCTTGAATAACTTCCCTTTGACCTGCTCTAACTGGGTTTCATGATTTGTCTTCTAGAAAGGGATTGCATTTCTTCCTCCTAAGTTCTTGTGAACCTGAAGAAAGCAATGTGATCTTTTGGGGGTTCTCAGTTTCCATACTTGTCAAATGGTCTGTAAAGATTTTCTCTTTTGTGTTAAATAAGGTCAAGTATGTGCAAGCACATTCAGGATCTTGCAGAGTGGAGCTTTTAATATCTGCTGGCCAAAAGCGGAGAGGGTACTGTCCTGCCCTCTCATGACCAGCTTTCTTTTCTCTACCTCCTTACTCCTTTTCTCAGGAGCTGGGGGCGGGTAGGAGTGGAGTGTGGGCCAGAATGGCTGGAGAGGTCAAGTTCTTCTCCACCTGCTGCAATCTGGTGGTTGCTCAAGGTCACCTTCTATTATTTGTCCTTTTTCCTCCAGGTAGCCTAAGTGGGAGGGGGATAATCAGAAACAGAGGAAGGGCCCTGATGAGATTCACTCTCCTTTTATCAGGTTGGCTTCATGAAGACTGGAAAGGTCGTGGCTCTGGTGGTAGACCACTTCAGCAATGCTGGAAACACCGAGGATCTCTCTCGGAGTGTAAGTAGGATCTGCTCCTGCATCCAGCGGGTGACTGGGAGGTCAAGAGATGCCCCACAGCCCAATGACACACACAGGCCCAGGCCTCCTAGCTTCTTGTCTGTTATTATTGCAACAACCTCCTAACCGGTTCCTACCTCCAGGTTCTCATCCTTGATTAATCTCTGGCTAGTACCCCATCTGTCCTGCTAGCATCCATCAAAGCCAGCAAAGCTTGTTACAGATCTTTATGGGTTGTGGCCATTGTGTGTGTGTGTGTGTATGTGTGTGTGTGTGTGTGTGTGTGTGTGTGCATGTGTGCGTGCATATATTAATTTGCATATATCTGTACATAATTAAAATAAGAACTTTAAATAAATTAAATTAGTTTAATTAAACAAAGAATGGATTCTGTATCAGGTAGCCCTTAGAACCAGAAGTGCTCAGAGAACTCTGCTTCAGTGTGGGCAGGTGGCATCTATGGACAGAAAACAGGAGTGAGATCTAAAAACAGCTTGATTGTTTACAGCTGGGCGTTTGCCTCATCTGAACATGATCTGATCTGTTGGCTGCCTGTGAGTAACTGAAACTTGGCTACTGTGTTTGACTGAGATGCAGTTATTTGTTACAAACGTAAATTGCTATGTTAGATTTCCAGTTAGTATATGAACTAAGTTAGGTGGCAGTACTTTACATAAGGACTCATCTTCCGGCAAAGTTTAGTGTAATTTAACGATGCATACAGTAGAATTTTATTTTATTTTTTCACAGTTTTGAAGGCCAGAAGTCCAAAATCAAGGTATTGGCAGGACCCAACTCCTTTTGGGAGTGCCAGCGGGGATTCCTTTCCTGGGTCCCTTGCTTGAGGTGGCATCACTTCTACCGCTGCTGTCTGTCCCCACAGCACCTCCTCTGTGTGCCTGGTCTCATCCTCCCCTGCCCTCTCTCTAGCAATGCATGAGATTACGTTCAAGGTCCCCCCACTTCTCTCAGCATCCTTGACTTGATCCCATCTTTCACCACATGAGGTAGTAGTCACGGTTCCCACGATTAGGAAGTGAATATGTCTTTGGAGAGGAATTTCCTTTTCCCACCTTACATAGAGGTTCCTATAAATGTCCATTAGATCCGGTTGGTTGATGATGGTATTGAGTTCTTTTATATCTTTTCTGATTTTCTAGTTTTTCTATCAAATTTGAGAGTGCCATTGAAATACCCAATTGTTGATTGTGGATTTTTTTTCATTTCTTCTTTCAGTTCTACTGGTTTTAACTTGGCATATATTTTTTGGCTCTGTTGTTTTTTAATATTGGGTTCATTGGTAGATGATGAAATGATGATGATAAGTCCTAAGATTTTAGACAATATTTAATTTTCTATTTTATTTGGCTTTTTCTGATACTGCGTTAGCATGGGGCAGAGTGGGTAGGCGCCACCTAATTACTGTTAGGTAGAGGTACAAGTCTTCATTTTCCACTGGCTTTTTTTTGACACCTGGGGGTGGGGCAACTCCTTCTTCCTGCTGGGCAGGAGGGGACGATCTCAATCTCTCATGTTCTCCCTGGCATCCTGGTGTTCTCCTTATCGCTGTGCTATGATTAAAGGCTTGACTCCTCATTAGGTCTCCTCTGAAACCACCCAGCAGGGAATGAAGGAAGAGTGGCTGCAGGTGTGGAAGCCCAAGCTTCTTGTGTGTTCTCTAGGGACTCCAGGGGTGTGGGTGGGGCCTGATCACCGACCACCAAAGACAAGAGTCTCAGCTTCCTACCTGTCCTCCGATCCTTCCCTGGCAAGACTGCAGGGGTGCCTGGTGCAGCCTCATGGATGCACAGAGGTTTTACAGGTGTGAGTAGGAGTGGGACCACAGATTATTTTTCTGTGGTATTTGGCTGGAGCAGAGTAGCCATTGTCTAAAAGTTTTCAGTTTTGCTGGGTTCCTCCTTTCCTGGTGTTTTGGCTGGAGGGAACAGGGTTTAGGGGATAGGGGGTGCCTCTTTGGACTCTGTAATCATTGGTATTTGTGGATTGCCTGCTCTTGCTCCAAGTTTAAGATTCACGAGGCAAAAGGAATCCACCTGGGACTCATCATCCTGTCATGCCTCATGTCCTGAGGTCCCTTGTGGATTGGCCATTTTTTCTTCCTTCAGAGTTTCTTGTGTTGCTGTTGTGTGTGTGTGTATTTGTGTGTGTGTGTGTGTGTGTGTGTGTGAACATATGTGTGTATGTATTTATATATATAATTTTATATATATATATAGTATTTTATTTATATATATATAAAGTTTTAGTGTCGCTTGGTGGGAGTAGAAGTCCCCATACTGCACATTCATGCTAGGTTTCTCCCAGAATAGAAAACACTGAGTAATGTCAAATGCAATTATTAGGTGCTTTCATATTTCGTCTCAGTTGAGGCTCCTTTGATCACAGTATATACAGTAGGGAAACATGAGAAGTGGGAGTTTGCACTCCTCATTATGGTGATCACAGCTTTGGCAGATGAACTTGGAATGTTGAGTTGTTTAGAAGATAACTAGAGTCCTTGGATGAAATGCAATAATTTGTGAGAATTGACAAATTTACCTCTATGGTACTACTTTTCAAAGCTTATTAATTCTTAGTTTTATAACCATGAGCTACATACATATAAATTCTTTAAAAATGTAATGCTTTTCAGGAAAAGCAAAATTTTCTCATTACACCCTTGGGATCCCACCCCTCTCTGCTAGGGACTGTCTAATTGGCTCCATTAGGGGAATTTATACTTCAGATCTAGTGCTAAAATTGTTCAAAAAAGGAAATATTTATAGCGTTTTCATCATGTACAACACATGTTTTTTTGGTGTTGTAGTGAAAACCGGCACTCACAGTACTTGTCCTCGAAAATCTTACAAGATTTTTAATTCACTCTGGTGAATATTTCTTGACTATCCAGGGTGGTAACATCAAGAAACACATGACATGGTTTCTGCTCTTAAGAAGTTCACCAATGGCAGGGGAAATAGATTTTAAAAAGCAATAGAAAGTACAAGTTGACAATGTTCTAAGGGAAAGCAGAAATGCACTTAATTGGAACACAGAAAAAAAAATCCTCTAGGATGACTAGGGACTGAAATGATTGAAGACACATAAAACAACTGTGGGAAAGAGAGACTCCACCTGGGGAGGTAAACTAGAGCCAAAATGAAACCAACAAAAACAATAAATGCTATCATTTATCTTCTCAGAGAAGTTAGGCATTACACCTGAAAGAGAGAACAGGATGCTGTAAAACTGGAACAGTCCAAGAATAAAAATGTGCTCTTGTGAATTAAAACTATAAAAGGGGTTGAAAGAAACTTGATGATTTTCCCCCAAGCAGAAAACAATATGAGAAAAACACAGGAAAATTCAAGGACTAGTCCAAGAGGTCCAAATGATAGAAATAAAGAATAAAAGAAGACAGAAGAGGAAGCTACAAGAAATAATACAAGAAATACCTTCCAAAACCAACAGATATACATTTTGAAATTCAAAAAGACCCTCCAACAACCAGTACAATAAAGGGAAATAGGCTTATGCTAAGTCAGATCATTGTGAAAATTAGAAACCTGGAGAGAGAGGGATGCTATAATTTTCGGGAAGGTAAAACCAGAACACTTTCCAAGAATTAGAAAGTCTTGATTGGACTTTTCAATATGAGGGAGCTAGAAAACACTAGTACCAGGCCTTCAAAATGCAAAAGAAACTGGAAAACCCATGTCCAACCTAGAATTGTAAACCAACTAAGGATAGGTGTATAGTGAAGGCATTTCAGACATGAAAGATGTTGAAAAGGTCCTTCTTTGTACACCCTTTCTGGAGAAGATATTGAAGAATACACTCCAACAAAACAAAGGTGTAAAACCAAAAAATATGGGGCGGGGAAGGCATGGGATCTACCAACAGAAGATTCAACATAGGGGAGAAAGGAATCCCTGGGAGACCGAGGGAAACTCTGAAGGCCACAGCTGAGCGGAAGCTTGGTGGCAGCCAATTTCAACTGGAGGTCAGACAGTTTCAGGAATGATTTATTTAAAAAGAGGCAACTGATAGAAATTTTAATGTGAACATATTGAGAACATATTTTTAGAACTGGAGAAAACTTTTAAGTTGGCCAACTAGTAAGTGAATGGAAAATGAAGCACATGGAAAAATATGTCAATTATTAACTCCAGGGTGAAAAATGATATCAAGAAAGGCAGAGGTGATCATAGTGTAAGTACATGGTTAAGCTTTAATATTTGCAGAGTTATTGTGTCCAACTGACTATTGATCAGAACAAAATACAACTCTATTGGGGGACAGGAAACTGGGATATTATATGTAGGGAAAAGGCATCAGGCAGGAACTAAACCTTCCCTCTTTATAGGGGGAAGGTAATATAAAAGCCTAAAAGTGGACAAGCCAAGAAGTAGCAATAGAAAAGCTATTTAGCGATGTAGGAGTTAATCCAAATAGCTACCAAAGAACAGGCGAGGAGAATCAGAAGTGGTGACTGCCGGGGAGGGGAAGGAAGGAAAGTGGAGGGGGCTGCTCTTTGTCACAACGTGACCCATACAGGCATTTGACTCTTAAGCTGTTTGCAGTACAACTTGAGTGGAAATAAAAACCAATTTGCAATGAATGTAGTGAAAATCAGCTTTTAAAAAAATAAATAGGAAGGTGATGGATGGGTTCCATCTAGAGGTCTGAGAAGGGCCCAGGGTCTGCACAGGTGGATAAGGTGTGGCAAGGAGGCTGTTCAAAGGCCTGGGCCCTGAGAAGAGCAGGTGATGGCGGGGCTGGAAAGGCAGGCATGGCTGCTCAGCCCTCACAGTTGCTGTTTGAGGAACTGATGAATATCTTGCTGTGTTCTCTCCTACTTTGGTTTCCTTGGCTTCAGATAATGGAACGAGCTCTATTCCACATGGACAACTGCTATAAGATCCCCAACATCCGGGGCACAGGGCGGGTGTGCAAGACCAACCTGCCCTCCAACACGGCCTTCCGGGGCTTTGGGGGTCCCCAGGGGATGCTCATTGCAGAGCAGTGGATGAGTGAAGTCGCAGTGACCTGTGGGCTGCCAGCGGAGGAAGTAAGCTGGGAACTTGGTGGCATAAGTCAGAATGGCTGAGTCCGTTTCGGGGGGGAAGAGGGATTTGTGTCTTGGGCATCTCCCCTGCAGACAGAGGATGGGCAAGTGCTGCTAAGGGGACTGGAAGCTTAACTTTAGGCTGCCCCGCTCCCACCCCAGCATCTAGCCACCAACAAGGTCTCGGTGTCTCTCTCCTTGGGAAGGTGCGGAGGAAAAACCTGTACAAAGAAGGGGACCTGACACACTTCAACCAGAAGCTTGAGGGGTTCACCCTGCCCAGGTGTTGGGATGAATGTCTAGCAAGCTCTCAGTATCACGCTCGGAAACGTGAAGTCGACAAGTTCAACAAGTAAGCCCTAGGAGGAGGGAGTCCCGTCTCCCTTGGGTTTCCTGCCAAACCCTAAATATGAAGCTGGTCATTTGATGGACAACCTGTGAGGCTGTGGAAGCTGCCCGCTCATTGGTAGCTACCCCTTTAAGATCGTGTAAAGATCCCCAGCCTTCAGGTGGACAGCTCAAGCCTGCAGTCGGCGTCGTGGTCCATCTACTGTGGCCTATCATTTGAGCAAGGATGTGTACACATTATTGACAGCCCTGGCCCAGGACTAAGGACACTGTAGCTATGTGCCTGTCTCTGATGCTAATTTATACACTTGACCCTGGAAATCATTCTGTCTCCCTGGAGTGGGCCTCAGTCTTATCATCGGTAAAGTTGGGATAATTGCACAGAGAAGGTAATTATCGTTATCTTTCTCTCTGGCACAAAGACAGTCCACGATCACTAGGGCACACTGACCCAATGCAGGTTCCACCCAGGGAGACAGAATGACAGTGAGCTCTGCTGCAGCTACACTTCCTTCATTTTGACTGCACTATTAGGCTCCAACTCAGTTATGGTGATAACTACACAGTTATCACCATGGGATAACACGTGCCAGGGCAGCCTGGGATCCTGGGATCCAGGAATGTCCTATTCTGATTTGATACAAAGATACTGACTGAAACTATGTCCAAACTATTAAAAATTCGTAGTAAAAACTCTTTTAAGAATGTTCCTTTATCTCCAGGGAGAATTGTTGGAAAAAGAGAGGACTGTGCATAATCCCAACCAAGTTTGGAATAAGCTTCACTGTGCCTTTTCTGAACCAGGTACTTGCTTTATATGTTTTGTTTTGTTTTTTTCCATCTCCACTGGTCTGAGGCCCCATTTCCCTCGCCTGTTGCAGGGGTAATCCCATGGTCACTGGTAACCAGAGCTGACCAGGGAAGCTCTTTGCTGTTGGAGTGAAAGTTGAATTTGCATATCGCCATCTGTACAGTATGTCACAGGACAGTGAGAGGTGGAGATCTGGGGTCAGTCTCTGGTCCTCACCTTTCCCAACTGCAGGGCTTGGACAGCCACTGTGCTTTCATGTACAGAGTGAAGACAAAGATCAAAGACAGATGGCCTGCTTCCCTCTGAGGATGAGACAGATGCAAAAGCACTTTGTGAACTGCCGAAGGCCACCTAATTAGATGAGGAGATTCACACTGTGCAAATGTTGTCTGGGTCTATATCCACAGTTGCTTGCTTTCTTTTTTCTGGGCTCCATTTCTTAGGCCCTAAGCCTTAAAATGAGTGGGATTTACTGAATTTTGTGCCTGGCATCCTTCTTTTTCCTCAGGCAGGAGCCCTGATTCACGTGTACACAGATGGCTCTGTGCTGCTGACCCATGGGGGCACTGAGATGGGCCAAGGCCTGCACACCAAGATGGTCCAGGTGAGCACCCGGGGCTGTGGACATCCTCTCTGACATCTGGTGGCTATTGTGAGGGAGGATGCTGTGTGAGAACTGAGCAGTGAGATGTGCCAGGGCAGCCAGGGCCTGGGATCTCATGTATGTGTGGCCTTGGGCAAGCCTTCTCCCCTCCTGGCCTCAGTTTCTTCATCTGAAAAGGGACAGGCCAGTGCTCTCTGAGAACGCCTTCGTTACCACCATGCTAGGGCCCTGGGGCTCTGTATGTAAGGTGGGGATGTTGAATATATAATGGCAGCTAGTTTCCCACACTCCTTGAGAGCTCTCATAGGGCAGCCAGGGTAATGGGGTTGCATGATGGTTAGTATATGTGCTGGACCCCTGAAAATTGGCCAAACTGTTTTTTTTTTTTTGAAGAGGTCCCTTTAGTCATTGATGGGTTTATGAATGTTTTATCCTCCAAACCATTTTATAAGGTGCTCCTTCAATATCAGCCAGGTGCAAGAACACCCCAGAATCAATAGGATTAGAGCTGACAAAATTCTTTTCTTGTCTCTAACAGGGAACCTGAGCTGTTTTAGGGAGAAGGCAGCCATGATAGCCTCTTCCCTACAGGGTGATGTCCTCTCTTTCTGCAGGTTGCCAGCAGAGCTCTGAAAATCCCCACCTCCAAGATTTACATCAGTGAGACGAGCACTAACACTGTGCCCAACACCTCTCCCACGGCTGCCTCTGTCAGCACTGACATCAACGGTCAGGCTGTTTACGTAAGGAGCCTGCAGGAGCCAGCACGTCCGAGGGCCAGCTCAGGGCTGGGGGCCTGGGGAGCCTCCTCTGGGAGTCGGGATGACTCTTTGACAGTTCCCTGGCTATGGTCATACCTTTGGCTCTGTTTCCCAGGAGGATGTTGCCTCCAAACACGGAGCAAAAAGAGAGGTCCAAGAATCCAAATCCAACTTCCATCAAAGCCAAGGGCGACGGGTGCAGAAGGGGAGGGAAGGTGGAGGGAAAGCCGAGTTTTCAGGGAAGGCACCCCCTTTGGTGTGGAAAATGGCCACATGGTAACTGGCTGAAATGGAAATTTGATTATGGGAGGGGTTAGGTCAGACCCACTTGCTTCTCTCCCGTGTCGGGGAGTTTGATGGAAGAAGGCACCTCCTTGGGAGGCTTGCAAACATTCCCTGTTGGCCCAGGAACTAGGTCAGGACAGGTTCCCTAGTGAGGACCTATGGCAGCCCCTTAGGCAGAGCCCTGTGACTTTTATCCTGGGCCTCAGTCATTCTGGAGGGTGGCAGGGCTGTTTGAGTGGAACCCTGGGCACAGCATGGTTTGGAGGTGGCCTTACCCTGGGCTGCAGAGGGCAGAGGATTGACCTGTCCTGTGTGTGGTGGGGATTTCTTCAGGCAGCCTGTCAGACCATCCTAGAAAGGCTGGAACCCTTCAAGAAAAAGAATCCCAAAGGCTCCTGGAAAGACTGGGTAAGTCTGAGCCCATCAAAGACACTCTTGCAAACGGAGAGAAGCTAACAGCAGCAGGGCCTCTGTCCCTACCCTGAACACTGTAGGAGCATTGTGATCTAGTCGCACAGGCAGAGGAAGTTGAGGTGGTCTGCAAGGTTTCACAGGACAAGTAAAACTCAACCTCTCTCGGCCCCTTTCTCCATAGATGTCAGAGTTGAGGGAAGTACCTTGAAAATGTTTGATCCAGGATCCTGACAGCCTGTGGGGATTGGGGTTTGGCTGCCCCGAGCCTGAGAGGGTGGGATGACTGCCAGACACACCTCCCTAGGAAGTCCTGGCTCTCTTGAGCCTGGTCCCACATCACGTTTTGGATGGAGCACCCTCCATCTCTCCGAGGGCTGCCCCTGGCAGCCTCTCCCCTCATCCACTCTTGGGTCTGGGTCCACTGAGTTGCCCTTTGTGAGAGAGCAGGGAGGAAAACATCCCCCAGGAGCTTCCATCACTCCTGTGGCCTTAGGAATAACACAACACCCACTCCAGGAAGAGGGAGCCCAGTGCCCTGAATTCTAAACCAGATGCCTGCACACAAGGAGCCCTCAGAGGGAAGCTGCCGAGGACTCTCTCGGGCAGGAGATGCAGCTCCTGCAATAGGCAGGAATATCAACGGAGGCTCCAGCTCTTGTCCCAGTACTGGAACATAGAACTGGGCATAAGAGTAACACACTGAATGTGATTGCACGTGGACCAATCTCCCTCAACACAGCCAAACCTCCTCATCTTTCCAGGTCTCACGTAACCTCCACTTCCTGTACTTACAGTTGCATAAATAGTGCTTGGATGTAGCTTGTTCCGGTAGTTTGCATTTTAGCATGGACTTGGCAGGCAATTTAAATGTTTCCTGTCATGTGACCAGTTGATCTGAGCTTTGTGCTCTACTACCAGCCATGTCGTTTCGTGTCCCTTGAAGCAGACAACCATGCTTCCTAAGCCACATCACCAGCATGTGTGTGCACATACACAAAAAATTATATCATAGGCTTATTGCAGATCCTAGCCCAAAATATTTTCTGTAAGCCTTAGTTTTTTCATCTGTAAAATGAGGATAATAGTACAAATATTATAGGGTTATGGTGAGTATTAATATAAGATACGCAAAGTGTTAATTAGCATCTGGTACCTAGTAAAGAGCTTGGTAATTGACAATGCTGGTGATCCAAATTATATCAAGCACAGTTTAAATCTTCATATGCCAATGCGTGGGAGTACCCCAAAAGCTATTTATTAGACAATTAAAGTATAGACGAATAATTTTATTGCTAGGAAACTATAAGTAAAAATATAAGGTTAACATGTGGAGTATGAAGAACACTCTAGACAGTTGCTTTTAAAATGGCCTGAGTAGAAAATAATCACCAAAGAGAGGTGATTAAAGCAGTGAATTTGTGCTAGTCTTGGAAGAAAAGGATCTGGATAGAAATAGTGGAGGAACATAAATGTGGGGACGTGGAGGAGTTGGGAAGGGGTCACACTCGAGTTTGGCTGGGGTAGCGATGGTGTGCTGCTGAAGGCAGAGGGAAGGCTGTGCTCCTTAATGTCAGGCATCTTCCCCACAGGCAATCGGGGGTCATCCAGAGCTCTAGAGGAGGGAGCTGCCGTGAGTTAAGGTGGCTACTCTGTCTGGGCTGGGGAGGTGACCTCAGGCAGAGAGACCAGTTAAGAGGCTACTATTGCACTCCAGCCTCCAGACGATGAGGGCCTGCTGGAGGTGGGAGGAGTGAGGAGCCCCTAGCAGATCCGCTTCCAGATGAAGAGGGTGAGCTCATGAAAGCAGGAAGGCAAGTCAGGCTCTTGGGAAACCACACTTGCCACTTCCTGATGGCCATTTCCTCCCCTCAGGTCAAAGCTGCCTACGAGGATGCAGTGAGCTTGTCTGCTACTGGGTTTTATAAGTAAGTGTGATCCTGCCCTGCCTGTCTCACCACGGATGGTCATCCTAAGGTCCAGGTCCCCTCCAGCTTCAAATGCTGTCTGTCCATGCTCAGGAGAGGGCAGTTCTACTGAAACGCTTATCTCTCCAATGGGTTTCCACTAATTTGAATCTAAGGGTGCTTTAGATTTGTGGGATGACCAAACCATGAGTCAGGAGGGCAAAAGCGGGAGCTGCTGTATTGGGAGATCAAGTTCTAGTTTGGGTCTTTGAGTGTACTCCTTCCTTTGGAGAAGTCATGGTTCCTTTGGAGCCTGTTTCCTCCCTTTCCAGATGGGGCCAATCAACTATTGACCTTGCCCCGGCATTTTGCAAGTTCTGGGGTGTCTGCTGCTTGAGTTGGGTAACCCTTGTGTGCTTCTTTGTACTGGGCATCAGACTGCTTCAGAGCGGGTTTCCCTCAGAATGGAAGAGGACATGCAGGGTACAGGGGAACCTTATTAATGCAGTGAGATTTAAAAGAGAGCACGTACCTTCTGCAGTTTTAAAATTCAGTAGCAGTGTGAATAGCTAGAGACCTGCCCATCTGACTAGGAGCTGTAAAAAGAGATGGTCATATTTACTGTCAGTCATAATATTTTAGCTATCTCTGGGAAATTTAACTAGGACCTTTTCTTTCACAGGTCAAGAGATTGAAGAATGGTTTGCTTTAAAAATGTTTGCTTTAAAATTTCTTGCATGAACGTATGAACATTATTAATATGCATGAATATATATTTTCTCTGTATATGTACATATACACATATATATGTGTGTATATGTTATATATGTGTGTATATATGAATTGGTTGGCCTATATTCTCCAGGTCATGTAATATTTGGCTTATACAAACACAAATTAATGCAGATTTTTTAAAAGTTTCTATTATATATTTGAAGTTCATAAAAGTAGGGTTTTATAAAGGAGAGCTAGATGAACATGGTGAAGTCAGAGGTCAAGTGCTGGTTCTGTTGGGAGAAGTCTTGTCCCTTGGTCCTATATTAGTTTATTTTTGTGGTTTCCTGTTCATATCTGTTCACATTACTTCTGTATAATATATAAAATAACGCAGGCCCAGTTTAGTAAACACTGTGTGACACAAAAGATGCACATGCATGTGACTTTTGGGCTTTTGCATGTGTGTGAGTGTGTGCAGTGCTAGGGATTGAACCCAGGGCCTTGCTGGTGCCAGGCAGGCATTCCACTACTGAGCTACATCCCCACCCCACAAAATCAGAATTGTATAAGGTTCTCAGGATCAAAAAAGAAAAAAATCTATCAAGAAACATTTGTTTCTATAAATAACATTTTTCTCAAATCTCTTGTTGAAATTTTGAAAGTGTCAGTAAGTGGGGAGTGGCACTTACAGATGCCCCCAGGCTGGCATGAATTCCCTGGGGGAACTTTGACTTGAGAAAGGTAAGCAGCTGAGCTTGTGTGACTAACCCAAGCACCATCACAGTTCTGAAGACTTGGGATTCTAGTTCATTCCATCCTTCAGAGTGACTTTCGTGTCCTTTGTGAATCCCGGCCAATCCGCCACCTCTGTTTCTACCATGCAAAGCCATAGCATGCTGATACTAAATGCCACGAGGCTGTGCAGAAAGATTATAACACGGGCCTTAGAAAAATGGAACGGAAAATGCTTGGTAATACCTGAGTCTCATTAAAGTTTTAGAATATTCAAAATAAATGGGATCTTTTTTTTTAACAGCTGAATGGAGAATAAAATGATTAGGGCTTAAAGGTTTTGGAACAGGCTGTGGGATATGGGAAGGGGTGGGCTATCCTAATACATGCAGCTTCTTCCCTTTTCTTTCCAAGGACACCCAACCTTGGCTACAAATTCGAGACAAACTCCGGGAATCCCTTCCACTACTTCACCTATGGGGTGGCTTGCTCTGAAGTAGAAATTGACTGCTTAACAGGGGATCATAAGGTAAGGAGTTTGTAAAACCTTAATCCTGAGGGGAAGAAGAGAAGACAAACAACTTTGTAATCCTAAGAGCTGATAGAATCAGGGTCTCTGGTTGGGAAAATGATGCCAAAAACATCAGGAATAGGCAAATATTGCCTACAGGGTCAAACAGAACATATTTTAGGCTCAACAGGCCACAGAGTCTCTGCTTCATCCACTCAACTGTACCATGGTAGTGTGATAGCAGTCAACATGGATATAAGCAAAGACCGCAACTATGATCCAGTAAAATGTTATTTGTGGACACAAATTTGAATTTTGGATCATTTTTTTTCTTGTCAAAAGATATTCATCTTTTTATTTTTTTCACCCATTTAATAAAATAACTCTTAGCCTTTGGGCCCTACAAAACCAGAGAACAGGCTAGATTCAGCCCCTGGAACACAGTTTGTTGACCCCTTTCTTACATCGTCTACCTAGCCTCAGGTTCAAGCTGACAGGTCCCTGGGAACCCGCCCTTGCTAGTCATGCACAAGTGGGTGTACAGTTAGTTCTGACTGTTGAGAGATCATTGCTGCTCCCTGTCCCCTACCTAGCTGCTAGGATCTCAAACTTCAGCAGTAACAAGGACAGTCAAGACATGGTGGAAACTTAACTCTTCTGCCTGAGTGTGCTCAGGGATCTCTGTTTGTGAAAACACTGTCCAGGCTGGCCAAGACCCATCTACGGTTAGTTTAAACATTCCTTTCTTCTCAAACTGCTTCTGTTTGCCATCTACTGCAGAACCTCCGCACCGATATTGTCATGGATGTTGGCTCCAGTTTGAATCCTGCCATTGACATTGGACAGGTAAGGCCCATGGGAGACCAGAGTGGTGACAGAATGGGCCATTGATGAACTTCATCCCCACTAGGGTCACCAGCCATACAGCAGATTGTTTAATGTTATTTTTAAACAGCCAGAAAATGGCTTGTAGGGAGTCTCCCCCAGAAGGGCACTTAGATTGATGATAGCCCTCCCAACTTTCGAGGCAGGAAATAAATGAATATGGATTAACCTGGAAAGGGCACTCCCACCCCAGGGAACAAGATGATGAATGGCAAAACACTGGGTGTCTGTGTGTGCATATGCGCACGCGCATGGAGATTTGGGATCGATGCCCAGGGAGTAGGGTCTGAGGTTAGAAGAGTCCTTTCTCTCCTCCTCACTCTTTCAGCCAAGACAGCATTTATCCTCCAGGAAGGCAATCGATGTAAGCAATGAGCATGGGGTATGGGAGGGCCCTGGGGGTCAAAGATGTGGGCACAACCAGGAGTTCAGGAATGACCCAAAGAAAATGGCTTTTGGAAAGTAGAGGATTATAGATAGCAACAGAAGAGAGAGGGAAGAACAGAGAGTTGAGATGTAGTGAGCATATGGTAGAAAATAAACATTGCATTTCTCATAAAAGGAGAATTACTGGGGAAACGGACATCTAGTCATTAGTCAATCTGTTCACTTGTTCGCTGAGCAGTCACCTTGGGAGTCCCCCCCTGGTGCAGGTACTGCATTAGGAACTGCAGAGCCAAGGATGGTTACCAGCTGGCCTCTCCCTGAAGGCTCATTCAGTCACGGTGATGCCACATGTCACCCTTCTGAGCTGGGACAGCAGTCATGGGGCCAGCGTAGTATGTCAGGTGCCTTAGAAGAGATCTTCAAGCCGCAGCAGGGACATCTGCTCCCAGAGGACAGGCTCAGTAAGACTGGAGGCCAATCTCCAAGACACTACTATCCAAGAAATTCCTCCTGTGAGCTTACTTCTCAGTTTGAGGCCACAATTTCTTCAGTGATGATGTGGAAGGAACATCTCCATCTGCAGGTGACAGGTTTTAGTGGGAAATTATGCCTGCACCATGTGACCCTCCTAGAATTGCCTAAAAATTCTGACACTGACCTTCAGTGTTCAGGCCTTTGTTTTGTCTAAGCCAAAGGCCAACTAGGTTATTGCAGGGCTGCGGTAGGAACCAGGTGATGAGTAGGGGACTCTATTAGTTTCCATACAGGTCTTTGTGTTCATTGCTGCTAGTGGTTCTGTCCTTGGGGAGGGGAGAGGCAGGTAATGGTGGTCTTCATTTATCTTGCAGGTGGAAGGGGCATTTGTCCAGGGCCTTGGCCTCTTTACCCTGGAGGAGCTGCACTACTCCCCCGAGGGCAGCCTGCACACCCGCGGGCCCAGCACCTATAAGATACCTGCATTTGGAAGCATCCCCATTGAATTCAGGGTGTCCCTGCTCCGTGACTGCCCCAACAAGAAGGCCATCTACGCATCCAAGGTACTGTTGCTCTGAGTCCATGCTGCCTTCCAGGAGGCCCTGTGGGAGGCCACAGGTGGTGATGAGGAGCTTTAGCTACCCACCTGGTGGGTCTGCAAGGGATTCTTCTTGCAGAAAGAAGAGGGCCTGACACTGGCCTTGGTGAGGACAGCAGATGGCTGGGCAGTGCCACCTGAGAACCAGTTAAACAGGGTTGAGGGCATCACCTTATTATAGTCTGAAGCCAGCTCCTGTGGTAGACAGAGGAGTTCCTTAATCATACCCTATAGAGCAAATCCCAACCTACACCTGTATCTCAGGTGTGCATCCCTGGGGCTGGATCCTCAGAGATGGTTTTACAGATGCAGCATCCCTGTGTCCCACGGAAATCAGCATATTCCCTGAGGGTGGGAGAGCAATGTCTGAGCTCACCCTGGAGTCTCCTTCAGGGACCCAGACCCAAACTTATGATTTGATCAGCATGCCTGAAGGAGTGTAAATAACTATCCTTTATTTCTTCCTTGTTCCCAGTAAGTATGAAACAGAGTTTGAAAATTAATTTAGCTGATCAGTATAATCCTAGACCTGCAAAGGAAGGCAATCATCACTATGAAGGAAGGTGACCAGTGAAACATCCATTGGCTTATCTCACCCTTTACAGTGGGAGGGTCCAGAACACATTGTGACCTTTCCCACTGGCTCCCACACTCTATCATGCATTGGAATCACCAGGGTTTGTGATTAAATTGCACCTCTATGGAGCCCACCCCAAGAAATTTTGATTGGTAGGTCTGAGGAGTAGGTTCCTGGAACACGCATTTAAAGTAAATATCCCTAGTGATTCTGATGGAGGTGGTCTCTGATCTATGCTTTTGGGAAAAATTAGACAACCTCTATGAGAAAGTGTTTTAATTCCTGCTGGTCGTGCCCTATGATTCCAGAAGATGCTGCAAATGTAATTATGGTGCCCGTAAGATACTCCCCCTAGGCTAGTAACTTTGAAGAAAGGGTTAAAACTCATGTCAGGTTTTTGAATCCACAAAATATAATTATTTAATGTAACTTATAAAGGTACATTATATTTACCAAGTGTCATCAGAGGAAATCACATAGCAGGAACTTACAGGGGCATGCCCATGAGGTCCAGACTGAGGGTTCTCAGTCCCTGATGAGTTCTGACTACCTCTTCCTGTTGGATTGGGTGCTGCCCTGCTAGTGCTGGGTGGGGCTTTGCTGGCATCACCAGCCCCCCTGGTGTAGACTTGCTGCCTGGTCTCTTGAGTGTGTGTGCGGGTTCAGCTGCTCATGCCCTCCCCTGCACTCTGGCCCTTCAGGCTGTTGGGGAGCCGCCCCTCTTCCTGGCTGCCTCCATCTTCTTCGCCATCAAGGATGCCATTCAGGCAGCTCGAGCTCAGCGGGCAGATTATAGTACGAAGCAACTTTTCCAGCTGGACAGCCCTGCCACCCCGGAGAAGATCCGCAATGCCTGTGTGGACCAGTTCACCACCTTGGTAGGATGCCTCTCAGACACTCGCTCCCTCCAGGGGATGCTGGGGACAGGCTGGCACGCTGCAGGGGAAGGTTCTACAGAAAGGAGAAATGCCAGGGTCTCTCGATTGGGCAGCCCTGGGTCAATGGCTGAATTGCTGTGCATGTGGGGTATGCACTTGAACTTGCAAGGGAAGAAGGAGAAACCCCTCTGAAGCTGCAGCTTACCACTGGGCCTGCCTAGAGGTGGGAGGAACGTGTGGTATATTGCCATTCTCCACAGATTTCACCATTTTCCATCTAGTTTCAGGCGATGGAGAAAACTCCAAATATGCCAAACCTCTAGTGTTAGTCACTAGTATTTGGGGACCCCTCTAATAAAGACACTGTATGAGGCACGAGGGAGATGCGGTGGAGGGAGAGAAGAAATTATTAACTAGATCAGCCACATTGCCTCATGATCACCATATGCCACGCCGATACTGGGACACGTAGGTGCCCTTGAGGACTTCATAGCCTTTTGGCAAACCAGATGATGGCTTTATGTGGTGATTACCACCGTGGAGGGGTATGCAGTAGAGGAACCCAGGGCTGTCAGAACACTTTGGGAAGTCCCTCTGTGACAAAATAAGAGCCTGCTAGGACTACATCTTCCACTGCTGGGCTCTCAGAACCAGCCCTGCTCTAAGTTGTGTTATTGGTCGCTGTGTACACTGAACTCCCAGGTTGCCTTTATTACCACGATCTCCACTGGGTTAGCAGAACCGGATTCTATCTGATACTCAAGCTGTGTTTCCTCCCTTTGAAATTTGATAGGCCTTTTGGGTTTAGCAATGAAGTGGGTACTCATGGACCAGAAGTCTTCTGAGCATGGGAAAAGGGTAGGAGAGTCCAGGAATGGGAGGAGCAGTGTGCAAATCTGCCATCCCAGACCTCTGCATTGAGGGTGAAAGAGCCATATGGGTCCCTGGTCAGGTTCCCCTCAGGTCTGCCTATAGCTTAGCCAGGAGATTAAAAACCACACAGACCATGTGTAAGCTCCTAGACAGTGAAGTTCCCACAAACTTTCCAAGGCCCACAACCTGTGATGGCCCCCAATGCTGAGTTTCCTTCATTTCCTGGCATTGCAAGGCTTCCAATGAGCTCACACGTACTGCAAGGTTAGATTCTTACAAACAATCCAATGTGGAACTTAATCATTTAAAGAGGCACTCTGAGGCCCCCAACCTAAAACAAAGATTCTTTTCTATGTAACAACACATCAATGATTTAAAATCCATGTAATGGATTTGCATGAGCAGCGGATTCTGAGTCAATTGTGCTTTTTAAGGATTGAGTACCACTGTGAGGAAGGACCACTTCTAAATTGGTCATTACCATATCTCCAGAGCCTAAGGGAATGGCTGCCATATGGAAAGTGCTCAGTAAAAATAAATGAATGGCTAGGAAACCAAAGGGTCCTCCTGCCCTGGGGCATTCCCAATGGCTGAGACTATAGAATGATGTTTGGTCTTAGAAGGTGGTTGGCAGTGGTGGGAGGTGACATGTGTATGGCAGGGTGGGAGGGGGGCCATCAGAAGATCCTGGCAATGAGAGCTCTTCATTCCTTCCTAGTGTGTCACTGGAGCACAGGAGAACTGTAAGCCCTGGTCTCAGAGGGTCTGAAGAGAAAGTCCCCAGCAGAGTGTTCTTGTGCTACAGTGGAGCTTCCATGGAGCAGGAAGCACATACTACAAAACCCAAATCTGTACAAGCTGGACAACAAAGCTGTGATTCAGCAGGAAGAACTGGAATGCATTGGAAGATTTTGAAAAAATATGATTTGCAAACAATGATGATCAAATTTAGAACTGTGAAGCCTAAGAGGCAGAGAGGCAGTTGGGGTCATTTCAAGAATGATGATTTTTCTAGAATGTTCTGGGGCAAGTCTGTTTTAATCATGGATTTGGGGAAGGTTTAGGAAGTGTTTGTGCGATGTCCCCACTCACTGGACAGCCTGTGTAACCTCAAGTGCTAATGGTGTCTGTCCCTCCAAGAGGATTCCCACAAACCTCCAGAAACTTAAACCAAAGTTGTTCTAAATCTGAGTGCCTTCCTCAGGAAGCCTTTCCTTCAAACCAACGATTACCATCTTATAACCTCAACCATACTCACATTTTACAACGAAACAGTGAGGTGAGATTAAAACCTCTAACTACCTTTGCGTCACTAGAGAAAATAATAAAGAATGAAGGAAATCCAGGGTTAATTGTATCTAATTTTGTTAATCTGCATAAAGTAAAATTACTCTATAACACAAAAATCCAACTGTCTCACTTACTGGGAACCTGCAATGTGCTAGATTTCTTCCCTTTGTGTATTTCAAAAAAGATCAAATTTAAGATCAGATTTTCATTTGAAGCCAGAGTAAATCTCACCTGGAAATGATGCTATTGAAATCAATACCAGCCAGAGGGAAAGTGAGGAGGCCTGGGTGCTCATCCAGGCTCTGTCCCTGCCTGTGTGACCTTGGAATGTCATTCCCCCCTTTCTGTGTTTCATTTTACTGCAAAATGAAAGGATTGGATGGGAATAATCTCTGAGATCTTCTTCTGCTCTAAGTCTATAAATACATGACCTGAAAACTCTAGTTATATAAGGGACCTGCAGCTATCAAAGACTTGGCTCTCTTACTAAGAAGCAATGTCTGGGCTGAATGAACTCCACTTAAAATCCCTCAAGCTCTTGCGGTTGGTAAAGAACAGAAGAGAGACAAACGTCTCCTTTGGTTTCTCCAACAGGTGATTTCACCACAACGTAGTACTGGGTGGCCAACGAGACATTGTCATGTGCCTTCACTGTCCAAAATATCCAGCCTGCCAGACAGAGTCTGTGGTTCTGGCCATAGAAGGAGCACGATGGAAACTGTGCAGTTGAGCTGGTGCTTGATGTCACTAATAAATGAAACTGTCAGCTGGTTGGCATGGGAGAAATGCTTATTAGTAATCATAATCACACCAAATGCTAGTATCTTCCACTTCTTAGCCAGATTTCATTTCTAAAAAGCATAACCACTCATGTGCATGCACATGCGCGCGCACGTGTGCGCGCGCACACACACACGCACACACACACACACACACTTTTTGTTGTTTGTTTTTTTTACAAAAGTCCATTTTTCAAAGTATTCCAGATGTGCAGTCTCTTTTACAGCATGGTTAAGGATGAAGTTTTAAACATCAAGGTGGTATTTACAGTGAGATGTGCAGGTCTGTTTCAGATGATTTTCTAGAATGTTCTGGAGCAGGACCCGAGACGTCATTGGTGAGGCTCTCAGGGCTGAGCTGTGACTCAGAATTCCCATCTGTGCTTTGGTAACCAAAGCAGAAGTAGAGTGGTCATGGAGCTCCAATGAGCAAGATTTGTGAGCTATAAATCACTGTTATTTAAGAGGCGCTGTCCTCCTCAGACACCTTGCCTTGCTCTGCAGTAACTGCTGCAAGCCCAGGGAGGGAGGTGCTTTGGTCTTTGTGGGGCTGCACACCTCCAGCAGTCAGCACCGCCTGCAGTGCAGATCTGTAACCTGCAGAGGGCGGTAGAAGATTGAGCATGAGATGCAGTCTCCAGATGGCACAGCAGCACTGTGGTTAATTACTAAGTTAGTGTTTCAGGATCTCAGAGTAGATCAAATGTCCTCAAGGGCTTCTCCAAGAGCCAGATTTGAAGCTGACTGGCTGGCAAAATCTTCTCAAAGGAGCTCTTTAAGAACATGGGTCAGCCACGGGGACTGAGCTCCAGATGGAAGGTTAGCAGGGGAAAAGCAATTCTTATTTTCTGAGCATCTGCAATGTGCCAGGTGCCAAATTTAATACTTCACCTTCATGGTCTTGTTTAACCCTCCCAGTGGCTCTAGGAGTAGGTAACAGAATCCATGTAATTACAAGAAGGAGAAGCCCTACCCTTCGCCATGCCTAGGAGCTAACTCAGGAACATTTACTCCCAGAAACCCACCACAAACAGTGGGCAGCTCCTAGGCGGGGAGACCTGGGATACACTGGGAGTTGATCTGCCTGTCAAAGTGGACCCAGGCAGGATCATGGAGGCTGATGGAGGCACCAGAACAACTATCTGTTTCTCACAGACAGGGTAGGCCACACAGGCAGGGCGACACTGTTGAAATATTGCCTGAGCCACTGATGAACCTCATCCTCCTCCAGGACTGAGGTGACTGGGAGGCCAGGATGGGGAGGCCAGGATGGAGGTCGTAAGAGGAACCCCGGACAAGGGATAAGCACAGAAATAGTGCTAGCTGATTGATTTATGACTGGGAACATCCCTGAGCTCAAGATAGTTTTATTTTTAGCTGAGGGGGAGCTTAGAAACCAGCTCACTGTGCTCCCAGTTGGGGATGTGGGGAAGGGCTATTCATAACAGGCAGCTTCCTTGAACCGGTGAGTCCTGGGAGCACGATGTGCCCCGTGGGCCTGCCCTTTTGTTTTGTTTCTATCCTAAAGTGGAGGAGGACATGTCCCTAAGATAGGAGATAGATCCCATGACCATCCTGTCACCTGAAATAAAGCAGCCCATTCACTGAAGTGGAAATGCCAGGCACTGCCCAAAGGGATTCTGGCGTCATCTCTGACCTTGAACTGCCCTGATCCCGGCCAGCCCCAGACAGTCCCCCAGACCAACTCAATATCCTAGAGCTGGAGGAACCTTGGGGACATCAAGCTAAATCCATTTGTTTTAGAGATAAGAAACATAGTCCCATAGAGGGTAATTGACTTGTCTAGGATCCCATGGCTCTTTACTGGCAAAGCCAGGCTTACAAGGCCACCAAACTCCTGGGCTAGTCAGAGGACCCTTCTCTGATGCAACCTTTGGGTTGGGGAGTGATAGAAATTTAGCTCTGCTGGTAGAGAAAGGGTGTGGACAGCTCAGAGCCCAAGAGGGACTCCGGGCAAAGAGGGACATTTGCCTTCTATATCTCTATGTCTCTGCTTCTGTGATAAGATGCTACGATGAGATTCTTCTCTAAGCCCACAGGCGGGGAACAAAATAGTAAGTGCAAAAACATCCCCTCATTCCAAAGTGAGGTGCTAAATCGTCTATGCAAGACTTGCAGAGTGGGTGGCTGGAACGGATTTTTGCCACCTTTAGCTCACCACCCACCTCAGAGGAATGAAGTAGTAGAGTGTAAATTTGAGAGGAAGGAGGTTTTCTGGGGAGATAAAAAGCTGTGCATCCTCCCTGCCAACAAGGAGAACGTGTGCATATGTATGTGTGTCTGTTGGGGGCATCCTTTCCCCCACCCTGCGGGGAAGGAGACCCAGCATGAGAAACCTGCTTGGGAAGCTGTGGTTGGGTAAGACTGAGATATCGGGGCACCAAGAAGAGGGGACAAGAGCAAACTCCACTTCCTGCCACGATGGGGCAAGATGACCAGCCATGCCACTCAGGAGGACTGGGAGGGGAAGGGACCACCTGATGCCCTAGGACCAAAATAGCGGGCAGTCAGCTGGCTCTGGCGAGGTCCTGAGGACTACCCTCACACCCTGCCTCTCACGTCCCAGCCTCCCATCTTCCCCTCCTCCTACACATCTTCTAGTAGGAAGGAAGATAGCAGAGCTCTCCATGGGGCCTTTGTGACCAGGAATGAGACCAGAGATCTCATTCCTGGAATTGAGCCATAAGTATTGGGAGGAGGGGCATGAAAGTGGGGGTACCCAAGCTGCTTGCATTGTTCTGACGTGCTCCTGCATCAACCCTGGGAACTCAGAGCACATTTCTAGAGTCTAAGTGGTATGTGACTTGCTCTCCTCTCCCCCAACTACTGCCTTCATCCCATCCTGGCAGGTACCTACCCACATTCGGTCAATTGTCCTGATCCATGAGCTATCAATGGGTAGTGAACTGGTCCATGCATGAGCTGCGTCCCTTGTCCCAGGAGATAGGGTATTTCCAGGGTCCTCCTGGTGCAAACTTCCTTAGGAGGCACTACCTTTTCTTGCTTCCCATTGAGGCTGGACTGAGCACCTGCCCAGAGAGAGTGAGACAGCATCCCTCAGCCCACTCTTTGATGTTAGGAATTAGCATACCCTTAGGGACTGCTCATGCTTCTCCTCTTTTTTCCTCTTCTCTCTTGGGCAAGTTTGTGAGCTCCTTTGAACCTCAGTCTTCTCACCAGTAAAATGGGCATGGAGATCAACAGCTTTACTAAGCTGTTGTAAAGACTGAAATAGTGAGGATAAAAGGCACTTTATAGAGAGCAGAGTTGCTGCTTTCAGACCTTTGATCATGCCTTCCAGGGGTAAGACGCCAAGAAATCTCGAGTAAGCTTTTCAAAACTCAGGTGGAAGGGAAAATGCAGGAATGAGCCAAATCCTCAACCATAATGAGATATGGGGAGATGGGGAACAGGCAGCACATGGATGACTGTGGTCTGAAGCAAGGTAAGACCAGTTCACATCATTATATTTTGGCCAAAATAACATAAATGATTGTCATGTCTCAGCTTCCCACCCTGATGTGATTTTCCCAGCACCCTGGGTAGGAGGGCGGACTCTCAGCTCCCCACAGCTGTGTGGCACAGATGACATTGGGGACATGCCCATTAGCCTCACCCAGCTGAATTCACAAGCCTTTATCCCCAACTTGCAATCCTATTTATTTTGTGTATTAATTTACATCTTAGGCCCGGCTGCCCAAGTGCTGCCGGCTTCCAAGCATCAGAAACATTTAGATATCCTACTTCCGCACAATCTGTTTTTCTACATTGTCAGTATTCACTGTCAATTAGCCATTCCTTTCTGCATTTGCAAATATTCCTAGGGTCTATATTTTCAATTCCTAATTGTCATAGCAATTCATTTTATCAAAACAATAATTATCCATCCAGGTGGTGAGCCATTTTTCCAACAAGAATTTAGCACTGACTCTACATGACTTGCTGTGCTATGTTCTGAAAAGAAAATAAAATATTGCCCCGAGTAGCATATAGTCTAATAAGAGAAATGTCATAGGTATATAAATAGCCAAAAGTCCAGGCAGGCTATGGCAATGACAGGAGAGACTCGGGGACAGGGGGCTTGGAAAATTCAGAGGAAGGATCATCCTTAATGGAGGAATCAGAGGAAGTTTCTTGGAAACAGCATTTGTATTAAAGAATGAAGGATGGTGTGTATCTTTGCTTCATATTACCACAATGAAACGCCTGAGGCATAACATTTATAAAGATAAATAAGTGGTTTATTCGGCTCATAGTTTTGGGGGTTCAAGTCTAAGACTGGGCAGTCCCACTGATATGGGCCTCTGTTGAGCGCAGTGCATCTTGGGTGGAACACATGTCAGGGCAAGTGCTCCCATCTCAAGCCAGGAGGCAGAGAGAGAAGACCAGTGGTGTCCCCTAACATCCTTAAGAGTATGACCCCAGTGACCAAAGGGCTCCCACCAGGTCTCACTTCTCAAATGTCTACTACCTCAAAAAAACTGCCACCTTAGGGACCAAACTTTTATACAGGGACTCTTGGGGGATACTCACCAAAACCACAGCAGTGTATTAGTTTTCTTTTGCTGCTGTAACAAGTTACCACAAACTTAACAGATTAAAACAACACCTATATTATCCTACAGTTCTGTAGGTCGGAAGCCTGGGTAAAGTGTTGCTCTCCTGGGTCTTCTGCTGAGAGTTTCACAAGGTCAAAATCAAGGTGTTAGTAGGCTGTGATGCTTTCTGGAGAGTTTGGAGATGAATCTGCTCCTAAGTCCACTCAAGTTGCTGCCCACATGCAGTTCCTCACTTCCCGGTGGACTGTCAGTTGGGGGCTGACCACCATCCTCGGGCTTCCCATGTGTGCCTCTCCAGCAGGAGGGGCAAGTCCCTGTAATGTGCCCAATCTCTCTGAGCATTTCTGCCACCTCTCTTCTGGATGCAGCTGGAGAAAGCGCTGTACTTTACAGACTCATGTCATTAAATTGGG